AACATTCAGAAAACTAAGATCATGGCATCTGGTCCCATCACCTCATGGGAAATAGATGGGGAGACAGTGGAAACAGTGTCAGACTTTATTTTTGGGGGCTCCAAAATCACTGCAGATGGTGACTGCAGCCATGAAATTAAAAGATGCTTACTCCTTGGAAGGAAAGTTATGACCAACCTAGACAGCATATAAAAAAGCAGAGACATTACTTTGTCCACAAAGGTCCATCTAGTCAATGCTATGGTTTTTCCAGTGGTCATGTATGGATGTGAGAGTTGGACTATAAACAAAGCTGAGTGCCGAAGAATTGAAGCTGTGAACTGTGGTGTTGGAGAAAGACTCTTGAGAGTCCCTTGGACTGAAAGGAGATCCAACCAGTCCATCCTAAAGGAGATTAGTCCTGGGTGTTCATTGGAAGGACTGATGCTGAAGCTGGAACTCCAATACTTTGGCCACCTGATGCGAAGAGCTGACTCACTGGAAAAGACCCTGATGCTGGGAAAGACTGAGAGTGAGAGGAGAAGGGGACGACAGAGGATGAGATGGTTGGATGGCATCACCGACAGAGTGGACATGAGTTTGGGTAAATCCCGGGAGTTGGTGATGGACAGGGAGGCCTGGCGTGCTGTGGTTCATGGGGTCACAAAGAGTTGGTCACGACTGAGCGACAGAACTGAACTGGTAAAGAATCTGCCTGCGATGCAGGAGACTCCAGTTCGATTCCTCAGTCAGGAGAAGGGATAGGCTACCCACTCCAGTATTCTTGGGCTTCCCTTGTGGCTCAGCTGGTAAAGAATCCATCTGCAATGTGGGAGACCTGGGTTGGGAAGATTACCTGGAGAAGGGAAAGGCTATGCTCTCCAGTATTCTGGCCTGGAGAATTCCATGGACTTTATTGTCCATGGGGTTGCAAAGAGTTGGACATGACTGAGTGACTTCCACTTTCCCATTAGGAAGCTTACACAAGCTCTTAGCTTTCTCCATCCCAAGGCAGACAGAAGAAGCAAGAAGAACCACAATGCCACAGATGCTAGAACAAAAACCACATTACAGAAAGTTAATCAGGAGGAAAAAGCAGAAGTTATGTCCCAGATGGAAGGACAAGATAAAACCCCAGAAAAACAACTAAATGAAATGGAGATAGATAACCTTCCAGAAAAAGAATTCAGAATAATGATAGTGAAGATGATCCAGGATCTCTAGAAAACAATGGAGAAGAGGCAAGAAATGTTTACCAAAGACCTACAAGAACTAAAGAACAAGCAAAGATGAATAATACTCTAGAAGGAATCAATAGAAGACTAACTGAGGCAGAAGAACAGATAAATGACCTGGAGGACAGAATGGTGGAAATCATTACCAGAGAATAGAATATAGAAAAAAGAATTAAAAAATTCTTCTCTCTCCCTAAGAGAACTCTGGGACAACATGAAATGTACCAACATTCACATTATAGAGGTCTCAGAAGGAGAAGAAAGGACCTGAAAAAATATTTGAAGAGATAAAAGCTCAAAAATTCCTGAACAGGGGAAAGGAAGTAGTCAACCAAAGTCCACGAAGTGCAGAATCCCAGGCAAGATAAATCCAAGGAGGAAAACACTCAGACACATAGTAATCCAACTGACAAAAATTAAAGACAAAGATAAAATAGTAAAAGCAACAAGGGAAAAACAACATACAAGGGAACTCCCATCAGGTTATCAGCTGATTTCTTAACAGAAACTCTATAAGCCAGAAAGGAATGGCACAATATATTTAAAGTGATGAAAAGGAAGAACCTACAACCAAGAATATTCTACCTAGAAATATTCTCATTCAGATTTGATGGAGAAATTTAAAGCTTTCCAGACAATCAAAAGTTAACAGAATTCAGCATCACCAAACCAGCATTATGACAAAAGCTAAAGGAACTTCTCTAGGCAAGAAACACAATAGAAGGAAAAGATCTACAGAAAATAAACTCAAAACAACTAAGAAAATGGTAACAGGATCGTACACATTGAAAATTACCTTAAATGTAAATGGATTAAATGTATCAACCAAAAGACATAGACTAGCTGGGCGGATGAAAACATGTTCATCTATGCACTTCCACTTACCACATCACTCTGCTTGAACACCCCAAATTGTATGTATTATTCTATATTGTTAGGTTAATCATGTTCCCATTATGGCTTGCAGTTGTAATCATCTTTTATTTTCTGTCTGGCTATTGATTGTGAAAACTGATAAACATCTTTTACTATTCTGATTATGCACCTGTTACTCAATACCATTATATCATGATTTGTCATTGGACAAATAATAGAAGTCTATATCATCAAAACTACCATTTAATAGAAAAATATGTAATCACTTTTTAAAATACAGATGCATATCAGACTTATCTTGGAATTTCTTTTGAAAAATACAGATGTCCAGGTATTTTTTTCTCCAAAGCTCCAGATATGTTTCCAATGAGCAGCCATGTTTAAAAACAACTAGACTATATGATGATCTTTTATCTAGCTCATTTCACTTTTTCTATTTCATATGCAGTGCTCTCATTTCATTTAGTTTATGTTTTCCAATTTCTCCATCTCTTTTTTTCTTTCTCAAGCCTTTATCAAGCAAAGTTTTTGTATACTTATAAATAGTATGTATAATATACATCAGAAAACTTACAAATTTTAACCTAACTAAAAATTTTATAACATTTTGATTCCACTTGTTTGACTTAATATGAATAGAATGCTAGATTTCTAATTAAAAATAGATATGCAACAAGCAACAGAGGTTTACTGTATAGCACAGGGAACTACAGTCAATATCTTGTAATAACCTATAATGGAAAATAATTTCAAAAATAATATTTGTGTATATGTATAACTGAATCACTTTGCTGTGAGCCTGAAACACTGTAAGTCAACTATACTTCAATAAAATATATATATATTAAGAAAAAAAAATCAAAATAGACTTATTCTGAATAAACGAAATGCTTTAAAACTGTGAATTTTAATAAAATACTTTGTTAAACCTTTGACATTATTTAAGGATAGTATGGGATTTTAAACATATTTCATTGATTTTAAAAAAGAATCCTCTGCATTTTGAATTTATCTGAATTCCTCATGATAAGTCGGAGTAAAGATTTTCTCACAAGTACTGTTGTTGTTGTTCAGCTGCCAAGTTGTATCTGACTCTTCACCACCCCACAGACTGCAGGACACAAGGCTTCCCTGTCTCTCACCATCTCCCAGAGTTTGCCCAAGTTCATATCCATTGAATCAGGTGATGCCACCCAACAATGTCATCCTATGTCGCCCTCTTCTTCTGCCTTCAATCCTTCCCAGCATTAGAGTCTTTTCCAATGAGTCAGCTGTTCCCATCAGGTTGCCAAAGTGTTGGAGCTTCAGCATCAATCCTTCAAAGAGTATTCAGGGTTGATTTCCTTTAAGGCTGACTAGTTTGATCTCCTTGCTGTCCAAGAGACTCTCAAAGCCTTCTCCAGCACCACAGTTCTCAAGCATCGATTCTTCAACATTGCCTTCTTATTGGTCCAGCTCTCACATCCGTACGTGACTACTGGAAAGACCATGGCCTTGACTATAGGACCTTTGTCAGCAAAGAGATGTCTTTGCTTTTTAACACACTATCCAGGTTTGTCATAGCTTTCCTGCCAGGAAGCAGTCATCTTCTAATTTCATGGCTGCAGTCACCATCTGTGATGATTTTAGAGTCCAAGGAGAGGAAATCTGTCATTGCTTCCACCTATTCCCCTATCTGCCATGAAATGATGGGACTGAATGCCATGATCTTAGTTTTTTTGAGTTTTAAACCAGCTTTGTCACTCTCCTTCTTCACCCTCACCAAGAGGCTCTTTAGTTCCTCTTTGCTTTCTGCCATTTGATCAGTATCATCTGCATATCTGAGGTTGTTGATATTTCTCCCGGCAATCTTGATTCCAGCTTGTAACTCATCCAGTCCAGCATTTCGCATGATGTACTCTGTATAATAATTAACTAAACAGGGTAACAATATACAGCCTGCTGTACTCCTTTCTCAATCCTGAACTAGTCAACTGTTCCACACAGTGTTCTAACTGTTGCTTTTTGACCTGCATACAGGTTTCTCAGGAGGCAGGGTAGGTGGCCTGGTATTCTCATCTCTTCAAGAATTTTCCACAGTTTGTTGTGATCCACACAGTCAAAGACTTAGACATAGTCAATGAAGCAGAAATAGATATTTTTTTCTGCAATTCTCTTACTTTTTCTATGATCCAGTGGATGTTGGCAATTTGATCTCTGGTTCCTCCACCTTTTCTAAATCCAGCTCAAATATCTGGAAGTTCTCAGTTCATGTGCCGTTGAAGCTTGGCTTGGAGAATTTTGAGTATTACTTTGCTAGAATGTGAAATGAGTGCAATTGTGTGGTAGTTTGAATATTCTTTGGCATTGCCCTTCTTTGGGATTGGAATGAAAACTGACCTTTTCCAGTCCTGTGGCCACTGTTGAGTTTTCCAAATTTGCTGGCATATTGAGTGCAGCACTTTCACAGCATCATCTTTTAGGATTTGAAATAGCTCAGCTGGAATTCCATCACTTCCACTAGCTTTGTTCGTAGTGATGCTTCCTAAGGCCCACTTGACCTTGCACTCCAAGATGTGTGGCTCTAGGTGAGTGCTCATACCATCATGGTTATCTTGCCACCTCTTAATCTCTTCTGCTTCTGTTTGGTCCTTACCATTTCTGTCCTTTATCGTGACAATCCTTGTGTGAAACGTTCCCTTGATATCTCCAATTTTCTTGAAGAGATCTCTAGTCTTTCCCATTCTGTTGTTTCCCTCTATTTCTTTGCATTGATCACTTAGGAAGACTTTCTTATCTCTCCTTGCTATTCTTTGGAACTCTGCATTCAGATGGGTATATCTTTCCTTTTCTCTTTTGCCTTTTGCTTTTCTCAGCTATTTGTAAGGCCTCCTTAGACAACCGTTCTGCCTTTTTGCATTTCTTTTTCTTGGGGATGGTTTTGATCATCACCTCCTGTACAGTGTCACAAACCTCTGTCCATAGTTCTTCAGGCACTCTGTCACATCTAAAATCCCTTGAATCTATTTGTCACTTGCACTGTATAATTGTAAGGGATTTGATTTAGATCATACCTGAATGGTTCTAGTGGTTTTCCCTACTTTATTCAATTTCAGTCTGAATTTGGCAATAAGGAGTTCATGATCTGAGCCACAGTCAGCTCCCAGTCTTGTTTTTGCTCACTGTATAGAGCTTCTCCATCTTCAGCTGCAAAGAATATAAACCATCTGATTTTGGTATTGACTATCTAGTGAGATCCATGTGTAGAGTCTTCTCTTGTGTTGTTGGAAGAGGGTGCTTGCTATGACCAGTGCGTTCTCTTGGCAAAACTCTGTTAGCGTTTGCCCTGTTTCATTCTTTACTCCAAGGCCAAACTTGCCTGTTACTCCAACTATCTCCTGACTTCCTACTTTTGTACTCCAATGCCCTATGATGAATAGGACTTTTTCTTTTTTTTTTTTGATGTTAGTTCTAGGAGGTCTTTTAGGTCTTCATAAAACTGATCAGTTTCTTCAGCATTGGTGGTTGGGGCACAGATGTGGATTACTACGTTTATGATATAAATAATATACTTCTACTGTATTTCATCAAAACATACAATGTCAGTTTGTCCCATTATAGGTGATGCTGTTTGGTCATCTTATCACTTTTATCTTGAATAAAGTGATATTTGCCATATTTTCTTATTGCAAAGATATGCTTTCTCTTTCATAATTAATTAATAACCTTTGAGAGGATACTTGGAGATCATATGAATATCCTTTTCCTCAAGAAATTTACATTCAATGGTTTTAGTTGAAGTTCCCTGCTCAAATCAACTACTACATTAAGGATTGCAAAATGCTTATTTCTCATTCTTTTTATATTTGTTAGCAAATATTTTTTTGCAGAAGAGCTTTCTTCCTCTCTCTCCTCCTTTTTTTCAACATCACAATGGATCATAGGCTTCTTTCTAGAATTTAGTGTGTAATCCAGTTACCACCATTATTCTTTTGGTGCCCAAACTGTTGCAAATTTGGCCAATGAAATTCAAGGTGGCTTCTATGTTCTTCTGACATTCCTCCATTAGCTTTTAAGCACTTCCTTTCTAGCACAACAAGATGTTCTAGACTAAACTTTTAGTTTTCCTGACTCATATCTAAAAACCACTCAATTCTCCAAGGAACCCTAATTTCTTTTAATGGGAAATGGTTTTAAAAACCAAGAATAGGGTTATCGTTACCATATTTCTAAATTCCATATATATGTGTTAGTATACTGTAATGGTCTTTATCTTTCTGGCTTACTTCACTCTGTATAATGGGCTCCAGTTTCATCCATCTCATTAGAACTGATTCAAATGAATTCTTTTNAGGAGGGAATGGCTACCTACTCCAGTATTCTTGCCTGGAGAATCCCATGGACAGAGGAGCCTGGTGGGCTATAATCCATGGGGTTGCAAAGATTCGGACACCACTGAGTGACTAATACTTCATATTTCCAATTTAAATCCAACACCAAAGTGTTACTCAGTACCTTTCCCCAGTTCATATTTGCACCTCCCTTCTTTTGCAATAATTACCCACAACATAATTTACTAATTTTCTCTGTAACACACACAAAATAGTTTCATAATCACTACACTGAAATTTATACCAGTAGACACCTACTTGGTAAAATTCAAGACATCACTGTATCTCTTTTTTCATTCTTAGAATATATCCCACTGTGAGGACAGAGTACTATATTGAAAGTTACATGAATTAAGTAATTTTCTGTGTAGTAATTTTATCCATGAATAATATTTACTTCCATTTGCATCTGATTTTAGGGTTTATTGTTTCCTTTTAACTAAGATATAATTGTTATCAACTCAATTGAGATATCATTTATAAACAACATGTACACATTTTAAGTGTACAATATGACTTGAAAAATGTATACACCTATGTAACCATCCTCATAATCAAGACATAGAATATTTTCCTCAGCTCAAAAAGTTCCCTTGTTCCCCTTGCCATTAAATCCCACCTTGATCAGTTTTCTATCATGATATATTCTATATGTCCTTTCGAGCATT